ATAACATACGTGAAGGGGAATAGCATTTATTAATGTTCTGTGGCTGAGATAGTGCACTGAATTTTTTATATCATCTGTCTCATTTATTGGACTGCCAGAAGAATGATTAGTAAGTCTTCAGGGAGATAAAAGATAACTAGAATGCTCCTTAGAAGAAAGGATGGTGAGACACAGGCTCATTTCATTTGGACAGGTCATCGGGATCGACCACTCTCCAGAGAAGGATGTCAGGCTTGGCAAAGCATCGAGAGAGAGAGAGAGAGAGAGAGAGAGAGAGAGAGAGAGAATGAGGGTGACTCTTAATGGGATGGATTGCCATGACAGTTACCACTATGATTTGAGCATATTCATGAGGGTAGCAAAGGACCAGCAACACTTTTAAAAATATATATATAAATGGGCCATGAGTCAGAGCCAACTGTTAAAAACAAAACAGAACCCTCACCCCCACTACTGTTCAGTTGATTCTTCATCATAGCAATCGCAAAGGGCAGAGTAGAACTACCCTCCTGGGGTCTCCAAAGCTGTAAATCTTGGCGGAAGCAGAGCGCCTCATCTTTCTCCTTTGGAGCACCTGGTGGGTTTTGAACCACCGACCACTTGCTTAGTAGCCTAATGCTTATCTCACTGTGCTACCAGAGCTACTTGAGCCAATGCCACTGCTGCTAGTGACAACAATTGCCCATGCAGTCAGTGACCATCAGCCCACAGTAGTTGAATTCTCTGATGGTAAAGGGGACAGTGGCTACAGAAGAGACAACGAGGAGAGGGGGATTGCTGCTTGGTGGAAGCAGGCTAGCAGCCCAGCATGTGACCCGCGGTGCCCACAGGGCTCCTGACAGCAGACCCCAGTCCGCTGCTCTCCTTCAGTGGATCGCCTGGGTGTGCCTGAGAGCCGGTACCCGAAGCGTGGGGTGTGGGACTCCTGGTTAGACTCGTGTCCTCAGCCTGGAACGGGGGCTATCTGCAATCGATCCTCATTATTCACAGACTCTGTATTTTCCAATCTGCCTATTTCATAAAATGTGTTTCCAGCCCCTCAAATCAACACTCAGGGGACGTTGGCCATCATTGTGGACGTTTGCAGAGGAACAAACCAATCGAGTCACCCGGGGCACACACTCGGCAAGGTGAGGCACTGCCTTGTGGTTTCGGCTCTGGGAACTGTTCCGAGGGCTCGCCAAGGTCTACTTGGAGCGAGACGTTTCGCTTTTTTGCGGCGTTCATTGGTCACGTCATTTTTTTGGCTGCCCCCAAGCTAGGGCAGAAGTTCTGTGTCGGGTTCCCAGCTGTGGGAAGGCTGTGGCGCGCCGAATGGGGAACGTGCGTGTGGGAGATGGGCTCAGTGCAGCCATGAGCCGTGGGACTCTTGGCTCCGAGTGCCATGCTAATGAACCTGTGTCGAAGTGTCTTGGAGACGCTGTATTACAGCATGTTGGAGAAGGAACACACAGACAAAGGGATGTGCTGCTCAGCAAAGAGCATGTCGTGACCAGAGGCTCACGGGCACCTTGCCCTGCTTTTCCCCCTGGAACAAACAGGGTAGCATTTGCCGACTCAGTGTTTAGACCTCACTGCTGTGCATATGGCAATAGACTCTACAACTGAGTCGGCAATGGACTACTTTTCTAATGGGTTCCCTTTTCCGGAGACTTTTGGTGGTTTTTTTTCTCCTGGCCATTATTAAACATGTTTCCAAGTGTGCACCTTGGATGATTTGCCTCGGGGGTGAGCTGACGGTACCTCTGCCTCCAGGCAGCGTCATGGGTATGTGAACTGTGTGGTCACAAAGGACCCAGAACTTGGTGTCATGCCCTGGTCAAATCACCTGGAAAGTCTTCTAATCGTCGCTCATTTTCTCCCGGTCCCACAAATGTAAGGCGACCAGACGTCCCACTTTTGGCGGGACAATCCCAATTTTTAAAAATTTTTCCCGCGTCCCGCGGAGTTTTAAAAAAGTCCCGATTTTTGGAAAGAATGCACGACAAGCTAGGGTATACGGTTTTCGGCTGCCATGTGGCTATTTCGCCAGGATGAGTTTTATCAATGGGGTCCCGCTTTACCAATGTTAAAATCTGGTCACCTTCCAAATGATACACCAGCGGGAAGTCTAGTGAATGTTCACGTGTGTCCGTCCGTCTGGTGTAACTATCGTCTCCCTCCCTCTCACTCGAGACAGTCTCAAGAGAAGGACAGTGAGATGTAGCAATGATGGAAAAGGGAATCCACCATCAACAGCGACTTAGTGATGGCCATTGTCGGGGAGGTGTCCTCGTCGTGAATGAAGGGGGGCGGGTACCTCGTTTCTGATCGCTTCAGAAATTGTCTGTTTGCGCCTTGTGTTGCTCAGTACATATCCCACGTTTTGTTTCACCAGGCACCAGTCGATGGACATCCGTGTGGTTTTCAGTGTCCATCTAGTTTTAAATTGACCTCTTTATGGTTTTAAAAAAGCAAAGCTGTCCCTTTGCTGACTAAGGTCTATGTGGCTCAATCCGTGTTATTTTCAGTAACCTCACATGCATATGAAAAAGAAAGATGGATGAAGAAAGGATAGGATGCCTTTGAACGATGGTGCTATCGAAGAATTCTGAAAGTGCCATCGACTGCCAGAAGGACAAACAGATCTGTCTTGGAGCAAGTGTCACCAGCATTGTCCTGAGAAGTGAGGAGAGTGAGACTTGGTCTCAGGTGGGACCAGTGGGAACAGGACATCATGCCTGGGTCAAGAGGGTCAGAGAAAAAGGGGACCTTCCAGTGATGGATAAGCAGACACGGTGGCCGCAGCAATGGGCTCTAACACAGCAACCCTGGTAGAGATTACCTGGACCAGGACCAGGCGGCGTTTTGCTTTGTGGCGCCATCAGGGAGTATGAGTCAGAGCTGACTAGAGGGCCCCTCACACCACCACCACCACTTTGACACCGGATCCCACGATGTGACAGGAAACAGCCCATGTGCCGTGCCATGCTGCCCCGTCCCCAGCATCTCCCGAGAGGGACGGATATGTCCACCAAGGGCTTAGGGCAGCAGTTCTCAACCTGTGGGTCGCGACCCCTTTGGGGGTCGAACACCCTTTCACAGGGGTCGCCTGGTTCATAACGGTAGCAAAGGGACCGTGATGAAGTAGCAACGAAAATAATGCTATGGTTGGGGCATCACCCATGAGGAACTGTCTGAAAGGGCCATGGCATTTGGAAGGGTGAAAACCAGTGGCTTAGAGGAAGAACCAAGGTGTCAGTCCATCTTGTCGAGGGCCCTCCTCTGTGTCTCGGAACCCCCTACTCATCCAAGCACGGTGTCCTTCTCCAGGGACAGGCCTCTTCTGATAGCATGTCTACAGCACATGCGACAACGTCTCACCAACCTCACTTCTCAGGAGTGTGTTGGCTTTGCTGTTTGGGGGGACAAGCCATGGCGTGCATTCGGGGTTCTTTGCCAACACCATCAGGCAAAGGCCTTCACATTTCTCAGACCCTCCATAGTCCCTGTTCCACTGGCCCAGGCTGGGGGCCTCCTGTCACAGGGCTCACTAGGTCAGGACAGTCCAAGCTCCCTCCCTGGAGACTTGAACAGCCTCCAGCCACACCTGCGGTCCTGAGGTGCACGACGACTCCGAGCCCTGGGTGGGGTCCCCGCATCTCAGCCCTGCAGGTTGCCAGCTCCTTGGACTCCCCGTCCCTCTGTGGGTGCTTTCCCTCCCTTGGTTTGAACAAGGTGCCCAAGCCGGAGGCTACACTTACTCTGTAGCCACAGGCCTGCCTGCCCTTCTCTAGGGTGCCAGTGGTGCTGTAAAGAACCATCCTGGGTCCAGCTGGCATTCCAGGAAGTCACCTGTTCAAAGTGTCGTCTGGTACGCTCACAAGGTGCTGACTCTCAGCTTAGAACATCGGATCTAATCTAGAACATTTTTATCATCTCAAAGGGAAACCCTGTGCCCCGTCGCCATGTCCCCCCACACCTCACCCGCTCCAGTCCTGTTGTTGTCCATTAGCTGTGGTCAAGCCGACCCTGACATGTGGTGACCCCACACACAAAGGAACTCCTGCCTTGTCCGGCACTGTGTCTTTCAGGCCAGACTGTGGTCCATCCTGGTGTGTCCAGACGACCACGTTCTGCTCTCTGCCTCTAGAGGTGCTGCTGCGTCAGGGCCTTTCGTGCGAGCAGTCCTGTAACGGGTGCTCTTTGTGTCTGGGTCCTTTCACGTGGTGTGTGTGTGAGGTTCATCTGTGCTGCGGCATAGATCAGCCGTTGATCTCATCTTGTGACTGAGTTGTTAGGTGAGGCGATTCCGACCCATTGCGACCCTATGCACAACAGAATGAAACAAGACAAGTCTCTGGGAGCGCACTGGCAGTATTTCTTCCAAGACAGATCTGTTTGTCCCTTTGGCAACCCACGGGGCATTCCGTCTTCTCCACTGTCTGACTTTCACCAGCATGGGAGGCAAAGGAAAATACCACGGCTCGAGTCAGGCACTCCTTAATCCTCAAAGCAACAGCCTTGCTTTGCAGGACTCTGAAGAGGCCTGGGGCAGCAGTTCCCCGATGCGATCCATCTTTGGCTGGCTGGTGGTGCTGGTGAGGTCCCACAGGGTCAGTTGCAACCCCTCGCAATCTTATGCACAACAGAATGAAGCTCCACCCGGTCCTAGCCCATCCTCACAGATCTTCCCAGGCTTGAGCCCCTGGCTGCAGGGTAGCAGGCCAATGCAGAGGTAGATCATGCTTGTTTATCTGTTCATCAAGTAATGGACGACTGAACCATTTCCCCTTTGGGACTAGCGTGCCTACGCTGCTCTGAACTCGGGTGGACAGGTTTGGGTGTGGACCTACCTTTCCATCCCTCTGAATAGATACGGAGGAGTGGGATGGCTGGACCACGTGGCCACTGTGTTGAACATCTGAGGAGCCCGGCTGAGTGGTTGGCATTCATTCCTCAAACCGTTTGTGACGCGTAGATGCCTCGTGCCTTCAATTCCAAATCTCTCTGCTCCTCAGATCCATGCTGGAAGATCGCTATAGAATTCAAGAAGGGGATTTTGTGTGTGCGTGGCAGCCAAAAGACACCTCAGTGACACTGCCGGCTTGGATCCAGAGCACCATCATCACCAGAGTCATAAAGTGAGTCCCATGCGTTTTCCATCACCCGGTGCACATCCAAGGCAGGTTGACATGAAGCTGTGGTCTGTGACGTGTAGGATGCCCCAACCCAACCCACTGCCATCGATTCCGTGCTGACGCCTAGCAGCCCTAGAGAACAGGGTAGAACTGACCCCGGGGTTTCCAAGACTACAACTGTATGGGAGGAGCCCGGTGGTGTCCTGGGGATGGGTTGGCAGTTTGAAAGCAGGAGCAGCTCCCTGGGAGAAAGACTGGGCTTTCCACTCTCGTCAACAGTGAGTCTTGGAAACCCACAGGGGCCTGTTCTGCATCAGCCTTGGCTGGATGGCAGTGAGTTTGATTTATCCGAACTCCGTATGAGGCTAGAAAAGCCCCGTCTTTCTCTCCAAGTGTCCGCTAGCATGACAACAAGGTTTGGAAATTGTGTGAGTGGCCAAAATGGGACACAGCCATGTGACGTGAGCATGTGCTGTTGTGGAAAACGCTGCAAAGCAGGAGAAAGCGCATCTCCACGAGGTGCGACCCAGGTGGCGCGCAGAGCCAGCTGTGCCCCGCCTCACAGGGTCTCTCTGGATTAGAAGTCCATTTGCTGCTCCTTCCACTCGTAGAACAAGGTGGTTCTGCAGCTGCACGCCATCTTCACAGCTTCAGGGCGCTCGCTCTTCTGAGCCAGGCTTTGCATTCCGGGAGATGGATGGTCCTTCCGGCTGCCAGCATGGGCTTTCTTGGAAAGGAGAGGTGGTCCAGCGAAGCGCATTCTAGGAACTTGGCCAGGCTGTGGAGGCCAGCGTTTGTTCTCTCACTTGAGCCGGCGTTTGCTGAGCTTGAAGAATTAAATTGCTGGCAGAGGGAAACCTGCCCCTAGGGAATAAAAGGGTTCGTCACCCGGAAGGGAACGATCCGTGGTTCCCAGGGAAACGCCGTTGGAGGGGCATCTTGTGGTTTTCTAACAACGTGTGGTTTTGTTTTTCCTGTGTTCTTGGGGTGAGAGGCCACTGAGTCAGTTCTGGCTCGTGGTGACCCTTTGGCTCACAGAACAAAACAATGTCTAATCCTAAGTCAATCTCACCTGGGGGCAGCCACTGTGAAGACCCATTTAACTTACTGCCATCCAGTCAATTCTGACTTACAGCAGCCCTATAGGACAGCGTGGAACTGCCCCTGTGGGTTTCCAATACTGTGACTCTTCACAGGAGTAGAATGCCTCGTCTTTCTCCCAAGGAGCATCTGGTGGTTTCGAACTGCTGACCTTCGAAGGTCAGCTCTCTTCCGGGGAAGACAGCTCATCCTCACAGCCAGGGAGTAGCCCCTGAAATGGACCATCCCCTCTATTTGTGTTACACATGCCTTATCTGCATAGTCCCACCCACTCACTTGGTGGAAATTACAGAGCTCTGGATAGAAGAGCCATATTATGACAGTTCATTCCACCACATAGACGAGGTGTATCCACACATATGTATGAATCATGTTCACATTTTTCAGTATTTCACATTAATCTTCTTATCCTGAACCTTAAAGAGTCTTGTGTGTTGGATCTGTCTGTCTGGGGATTAATTCCAGAAGACATAACTGAGGGTGTCAGAAGGGAGGGAGCTTGTCAGGTTAGTGATCAAATTGAACCGTGTCTTCTAACTACCTTGAGCCTCCATGCCCTTATCTGTCAAACAGGAACACTAATAAACCACAGTGTTTTCTAAATATCAGAGGAAGTATTGCATGTTAACATACTTATGCTATCTGAAAAATGCACTACAGAAGTTTGGTTTTTTTCACACACACATTCCCTAAATGTAAGTATATTATCTGTTCAATAAATTCTCATAACAGAATAATCAGAAGCAGAGGAAGGAGAAAATGAAGATTTTCCTTCACCGAGTAAAGTGGAAACACTCCTGGAGTGTTGATTGGTTCAACCATTTTGGAAAGCAGTTCGTCAACCTCTAGTAGAGATGAAAGGAGCCCTGGAGGTACTATTTGGTTAAATGTTGGAGTGCTAACTGCATGGTCAGTGGTTCAAATACACCAGCTGCTCCTGGAGAGCAAGATGAGGCTCATAGAACCCTTCAAGATTCACAGCCTCAGAAACCAGAAAGGACATTTCTACTCTGCCCCATAGGGCCGTCACGAGTCAGAATCAACTCCATGGTAGTGAGTTTGTTTTGGGGTTTCCATTAACGATTGCGTTTGATTTCTTAGCAAAGCATGGCCAGATATCACAGAGTGAAACATAGTCTATGTTTCGTTTCTTTAAAATATTTCAGAAATTGAAAGCTACAGTTGATGCCTTATCATCCAGGCTCTTCTTAAGTGTGGGGAAGCATTATAGCTGGCTTACATGGGTACAACCACAGAGGGCATGGGCATGAGATCCACAGGCATCTGACATCCACATGTGCTCGCACCTTGTTTCCCATGAGTCGCTGCCTTAGTTAAGGAACACTCTTAGAAGCAGCAAGAAGGCTGGGGTTACCATTTAAGTTCTAATCATTGCTTTCGGTTTATTCATTTATACATATTTTTTTCTCTAATCAATATTTGGTCCCTCGCACCAAATGAGTTCATAACTTGCAAAGCAGAGACAAAATTCAAAGTCAGTTTCAGAATCCATGTCATGGTGTTAGGGAATTACATAGAGCTTGGGAATTCACAGTAGAAAACTTGGACCATAGATGAATTTGCACTCACTTTTGACCAAAAAATGATTTTTAAGAAAGGCATTCCCTCATTTACATAAAGCTAAGGCAAGAATTCAGCCCCTGGTGGCTACCTACTTGTGCCTTCAAACCCCCCTCCACCTTCACCTTCACCACCATCACCGCCATCACCATACACACACATCACAACCACAGGTCCTGCATGGGGCCCTGACATGCTCTCCATTCCTGTCTGCACTTCTGGGACACATCCCTGCCCTTGTTGGGCCCCAGGTCCCTCTCAAAACAGCAACAACAACAAACTCACTGCCATGAAGTCAATTCCAAGTCCCAGTGACCGTATGTATAAACAGAGTAGCACTGCCTCTGTGGGCTCCGGAGGCTGTCGATCATTGTTCACCTTTCTCCCCCAGAGTGGCGGGTGGGTTCAAACCGCTGGCCTTGGGCTCGGCAGTCCAACATGGAACCCACTTTGCCACCGAGGCTCCTGGTCTTTAAGGAATCCGGTGCCCCTTTGAAAAAAATCCAAACTACTCTCTCTCTCTGCTTTTGTTTTCTTCCTTCTGCAGAAAACCATCTCACAGGCAGATGTGTACAACGCGGAGCTAGCAGAGCTCTCAGGAGCACCAGGATAACCTCCTGGTGGCGCAGTGGGTTAAGGATAGGGCTGCTCACCGAGAGGTCAGCGGTTGGAACTACCAACTACTCCCCGGGAGAAAGGGGAGGCAGCCCGAACCCGTCTGCCCTCCTAGAGAGGGTTGCTAGGAGTGGCAGTTGTGGCTGGTGGGTTTGGTTTGGGGTTGCTGGATGGGACCAGGAAGTGGCTTTCTCCCCGCACCTGGGCTTCCTTCGGGATGTGGTGGCTTGAATTAGTGTGCAGCTGCTATTCCAGGGCTCAGCTTCCTCGTGTCCATGTGAGCTCTGAACCAGCGGCTGAGAAAAGCTGATCTGTCATACACAGGGACACTCTGCTCCCTCCAGGGCCAGAGGTGTCATCAGCTAGAAGGGCCGTTACAACTAGGCAAAGGGAAGCAAGTGCCCGCTCAGCTGGGAGCGTTCACAGTAGTCGTCCTTTCCACTCACCAGCTGAGCGATGGGTTGGCCAGTTTTTCATCTAGAAAACAGAGTTTCCATCCCTATAATTTATTTATCTCTTACTTGAACATATGATAATGTATTCAACGTAAGATTTTGTATCTGAAAACACAAACAAAAAATCTCCCTGCCATCAAGTCAGTGCTGCCTCTTAGCCACCCTGAAGGTCAGGGGAGAACAGCCCCTGTGCGTCCAGTCATTATGGGAGTAGAAAACCTCGTGTTTCTCCCAAGGAGTGGCTGGAGGTTTCGAACTGCTGACCTTGTGGGTAGGAGCCCAACGTGTAGCCACTAGACCACCAGGGCTTCCTGTGATACTGTACAGTGTGAACTAAAGGAGGAGGGAAGGCTCTTTCAACACATGTTCTCCTTCGTCATAACTTGTTAGATTCTGAAGTGAGTCAGAAAGTATTGTTTCAAAAATCACAGACAGCCTTTATTGAACAAAACTATCAGGAGGTGAGGGCTCCTTTCTCAGCCTGTGTTCCATCCAGGACTGCACACTGCTGCGACAGGGATTCCCATGCCCTTTGGAGTTCCAGACTCAAGTCTTGTTCCTTTTAAATGCTCTTGGAGTTTAGGGAAGACCAAAGCATGGAGGGGCCAGACCAGGGCTGTGGGGGGCTTCATCTAGGGTTTCCGATGAAGTGCTCAGAGGACAGCACTTGCTCCCCATGAAGCCTGAGCAGACAGGTTCGTTCTTGTGATGGGGGGAAATCCCTGGCCTTTTTCTCACTACTGCAGCTTCCTCAAAACTTCATCGGAATAAGCCCTGTGATCCTCCTGTGCCCTCTGAGGCAGTCTGTGACGACGGCCCTTTTGAGATCCTCAGAAGAAAGGCGCCGTAGCCTTCTGAGCTGCCGTCTCTGCCTTGCACTTACCCGGTGTTTCAGCTCCCCTGGGAAGCCACCCGGTTGATTGGATGTCTCGTCCAGAATGAGGCTAAGTGCTCATTGGAAGGTACCTCGGCGAGACCAAGCCCAGGTGTATGACTGTGATCATTGGCCGTCTGTCAGCCACTGAGCACAACAGAGCAGAGCTTAAGCGTTGTTTTTTGTTGTTTTTTATTTTATTTATTTTAATCATTTTATTAGGGGCTCATACAACTCATCACAATCCATACATACATCAATTGTGTAAAGTGCATTTGCACATTCATTGCCCTCATCATTCTCAAAACATTTCCTCTCCACTTAAGCCCCCCCGGCATTAGGTCCTCATTTTTCC